ATTTCATCAACTTGCAATAAGTCATTAAAATCTGGTTTAAGTTCTCAGACTTAAATTTGACTCTGAGCCAGAAACAGATTGTTTACTTTCCTTACGCGCTGGGTGCAACTAAACAAGGAATTCTGTCAGTCAAAATAAAAATATCTGCTAGATGGTCTTGTGGGCAGGGGATCATGGGAATCAAGGCCTTAAATAGTGCACAGAGTTTTCCTCTGCCTGAGATTAGTCTTAAAGGCTAAACACACACACACAGGGCATCCAGGTATTTATGGGGGAGCAGCTAAACATGCTTTTAGGCGCTATTAATATCAGCAAGGGTCACAGTTATATGTATACATCTACAGTCTGTTGACAGCAGAGATAGACAAATGTATAAAAGACAACATTATCAGAGCCAGTGTAGAAAGTAAAATAAACAAATGAGTATTTTTCCAGTACATACAACAGCCACTTCCTGACATCAGGACAAGCCAGCCAGAATCCAAAATAGATGTTTAGACCATCCAGAATTAGTGGTTTGGGTGGTCAAGCATGTCGCCCACTAGCGTGCTTCTTCCTGTTTATTTTGAACGCTCAGCCCCTCCTTATAGTGTATCAGTAGGTTAAACAGAGAAGAAGAGGGAAGTCTCACTGTGAAGGCTAATGCCATCTTGTGACCAATGTGATTTAGAGCTACTCTTCAGCTCAGCAACATTTCTCATCAGCTGAATAAACAGATCTTTTGGCAGGGAATCAAGGGGGGGAGAAAAAGGCCAGTTCCCACTCGGATTTAGTCGTTGGCACTATTTATAAAAGCCGTGCCCTTTGAAAGAGAGCCCTTTTAAATATTTCAGCAAGGGCAGCTTGTGTCAGCATCTGCATCCCATGAAACAGGCATCCTTCCATATGATTGGTCACATAAAATTAGGATTTGCTTTGTCTTTCTGCTGCTGGCACCCAACTTATTGGTAAGTCTTTTTTTTAGCTCCTACACAAGTTCAGTTCCAAGAAATTAAGTCTAAAATAAAGAAGTGAATCCACTCTGTGAATATAGTACCATAACGATCTATTTTATTGTGTGATATTCTTAATTTCTATGAAATTGGCGCAGAGTCTGGTGATGTTGTGAAGTAGCATGGGGTCATGGGAGTTGTTGTCCTCATCATCATTTTGGCGTCTTTGTTGTCTACTACTCTCGGTTAGGATTCCTTCAGCTTAAACCATTCAGGAACTATTTTACCAGGAGCTGAATTATCCACAGAGATTAAAGCAGTTTTGTGTTAAAAATCGTCCTGGAGGAGCGAGCTGCTGCTAACGTTTGTTTCTTTTAACTTAAGATCCAGACCTTCAAGGACCAAAATCCTTAAGATAAATAGTAAAAAATGACCAAAATCTAAAGTGTTTATCCTGAAAATGTGACAAGGGAACAACCTAACTGACTCAGTCTGAATGGTTCTGATGAACGCAGGTAAAGCCAAACAAAATCAGGTAGTTAAAATGAGTAAGACAAATGCTATTTAGCTCCAGATCAGGGATTACAGCTCATGTGTGCTGCTCCAGGTTGTAGGATGCTGTCAGAGGATGCAGTTTGTGGGCACATGGAGTTGGAGGTGGCGGTGCTGCTCGTTGTGTGCATCAGGAATCAAAGGCCGCCATTGTTGGAATGAGAAGCAGATGTTAGTGAGGAATTCTCCTGACTGCAGCAGTTTTTTCTTTTTTCATGCCCGAGCTTTGAGCGCTGCCTCACTCCATCTCCCTCCCTCCTGCTCTCTCTCCCTCTCTGCTGTATATATGCACCCTCTTCCTCTCTCCCTTTTCTTATGCTTTGACACATGCTGTACCTGAAGCTATTCTTAAATCATTGTGGTGACAGCCTCCTTCAGTGGGTCTGTTCCACTTTCTCCAGGCAGGGAAAGTTTTTCTTTCGCTTCACCTTGCAACAGTTGGACACGGAGACTCTCCAGCCCTCTGCTGTGAAAGGAGGGAAGGAATGAGAAAGAGAAAGGTATAGTTGTGACTGAGGGCCTCTCTTTCTGTGTCCCAGTGTGGGATTTGGTGTCATGCCTGAGTCTGATGTTTGCCACGTTGACAGAATCCCTGTTTCAGGCTGAAAGGCAGGAGGAAGCTCAGTTGGCTGCTCTTTGTGCGTGTGTTGCTTTAGATGGACTTTAGTGTTACGTCACACTTTGCACGGCAGTGAAAGGGGGATGGAAAGCAGCAGTAATTTCATTATCCAGCATTCTCTCCACTCACACATGGCGTTCCCGGTACAGAGAGTGTAAGAGAATCCACCCTTTAATTTCATGGTGGACATTCCCTCTGTGGTGATGTCTCATGTGTAGACCAGACATGACACAATAGACTTTTAAACCCATCAATAATGACTATACTCAGTTATGTCTGAATTACCCGTCTCTGCATGAGACCAACGTAAGTGTCGGCTTTCACTGTTAATATTCAGCAATATAATAAACAAATCATAATGTGTCTGTGGAAGTCAGGAATCATATTTCTGGCTGTAAATGCAATATGATACGATTTCAACAGAGCCTGCTTTCAAGGGCCATTAGCTCTCCTCAGGAAGACATGGCTAAGCTGCATGTGTGAATGTTTCCACCTTGTGCACAGATTTAAAACCCTGAAGAATAAAGACCTTAATGACAAATAGTTCTCAAAAAGCCTCTTTAAGTTGTTTCACAACATTTGTGGTGGTAGATCTGTGGCATTTACCGAAAGTCAGCGTCAGTTGTTGTTCCAGCAAAGACAGCCATAGACTTTTCTATGATATTCTAAGTTCATGTCCAACCTAAGCTCAGGAAAATACTGTCAAAATGTCCATGCTAGCAATTTATGGTCTTTTAAAAAAATTAAAAAGTCTCTGTCCACAATCAAATGCTTGGAAAATTCATCAATCTGGCAGACAAAGCAATCCAAAACTAGGTGTTCTCTGCAACTATTGTATTGCTGCTGGTTTACTGGATCACTCTTGCTCTCTGGAGGAGAGGCGAGTGATGTATGGAAGTGATCCAATTAGATGGATCTCACTTCTAATTAACCCTGCTGCCATCACACGGCTCAGCTGTTCTGTAGTAGCACCTGACATATGGTCATGGCAGGAAGAGCAGGAACTTACCCAGAGAGTGTGTGTGTGTGTGTGTGTGTGTGTGTGTGTGTGTGTGTGCGTGTGTGTGTGTGTGTCCGTCCATCCGTCTGTCTGTCTGCATATAAATATGTGCTTGTGTGTGCAGTGCAGTAGTGATGTGTCAAGGTCAGCAGCAGCGGAGGGAGTCGTCCCAGTCATGGCTGCAATCAGCAGACTTTGCTGAGTGGCTGGTTGCCCACTGCACGTGCATTGACCAGCTTTAATGAGAACTGATGCTGTATGTCAACAGTATGTGTATTTATCGCTGCTTTTCCCACAATGCTCCCTGTCTGTGCAGCAACAAAGCAGTGTTATATGTGGACAGCAGGCGTATTGAATGGGTACTTAGTCCGAAAAGCACTTTGTGACTTTGCAGCAGAAGTCCACTCCCACAGTTAAAGCTGTTGTTCATTGGTTTCAGTTTGTTCAGTGATTTCAGTGTTTCCACTGCTGACAGAGGATCAACCTGCTGCTTGCTTTGTTCAAGTAACAATTCACTGATTTAAACACAGCTTTTCCCTTTTACACTAATTTTCCCATTTTCTAAAACCCGAACTATGTCACTCTGAAATCCACATTTTCATGTTTTTGAAAAGTTGGAGGAAGTTGAAACTTAAATTTTGTTTCTGGTAGAGTGGTACAATGGCTTACAAAACCTCTGTCTATAACCCCTAAATTCTCTGCCTACATCTTTTAAAATGCTAATTGTTTTTCACTCTGTAATGTGACCCTGCCCACTATCCATCCTATCTGTTTTCAATGACAACGTGGCTTCAAGGTGAGGGACTTTCAACAGGAAGAAGTGATAATCTGGACTGATTGTTCTTCAAATTCTTTTGTATGGTCTGAGACTTTTCACAGCCCCCGGAGGTCTCACATGTCCTCAGGCACAGTTCATGCTGGGAGCTACTCGCTGCTCTCAGGACAACTGTTAAAGTTGAAGGTGTGTGTGTGTGTGTTTGTGTGTGTGACTGTGGTTGATTGTGTGTGTGTGTGTGAGAGAGAGAGAAGTATATAGTTGGTAGAAAATAAAAGAAAACATTTGCTGTCAAACCCTGACACCAACATTGCTGTGATAATAATAAGAACTCTATTCAGATTTTTTTCATTTCATTCATTTCAAAACAATGCTGGTGCTAAAGATAGAATAAAATGGTTTAGGGACATTTGAAATACTTGTAGTCACCTGTCAGTGTCCTCTGACTTCAGCTCAAAGAAGGTGAATAAAAAGGTTTGGAGCAGACGAAGCTACAGTCAGACTCTTGCATGTGGATTTCAGCAGACAATGAAAAATTCAACCATGTCAAACACCTGAAAGCATGTCAAGAGAACTGACACAAAACTGATGCCAGGAGGAAAATGAGGAGCTGCTCGGCTCACGGTGCCAACAAAATCAGACATCCAGTCAATGTCTAAAGCCCCTTACATAAGTTTCTTCACAGCTGTGCAAACCAAGCGTGTTGCCATTTTTTTTTTATTTTGCTTTTTGGTGTTTCTGATTCGTTAGAATGCCCCGAAGTTAAAGTTCAGAACTGGTTTTGTCATGTTTTAAGTTTAAGGTTTAAGGTTTTTGGTCTCTGTGTTTCCTTCATGCCATCATTACACTTCATTAGTTCCTCTCCAGACAGATGCTCACATGTTCCTCTGGAGTCACTGACATTCCCCTGCACTGATGTCACATGTTCTTAGACCTAAACAGGAACGCTGCTCTCCCTTTAGTCCGTCTGTCTTTTATTTCTCTTTTTCCTGCAGATTCACTCTTTTTTTTTGCCGTCGCCTCCTTCTCATGCAGCAGAGCACATCTTCATAGTCCATACATTTCCTCACAGCACAATGCACTAACATCATGTCTTTTGCCCTCTCTGTTGTGTCTCTACAGTGGCGGACTACAGCTCGTGTCCACATGCCCTGCCGTGTGAGTGCTGCTTGGCCTGCTGAGCCCATAGGTGCTGATGTGACTGTACTGGGCTGCAGCTGAAGCAGGGCTACAGTGACTGAGTGGTCGTGCCTGTGGCGGAGGAGGAGGGTCGTCAGAGGGCCCAGAGCCCTGGAAGCAGGCGGAGGGGCCTGTCCTGTCCCAGCCACTCGAAGATGAACAAACTGAACTTCCACAATAACAAAACCATGCAGGACCGCCGCTGTGTTTGTGTTTTTCTGCCCAATGATGACACACTCAATGTCATAGTCAATGTGAGTAGACGTATAATCACTTAATTTCATAATAAATGTAGGTTTCTTGGCAGCAGTTACTTCTGAAACACAGTTTTGTGTTCATAACAATATGAGATAATTGCCAGACATTAACTTATGTGTGATTGTGTTTGTGTTATGTACTTGATTGCTAACAGATGATCTTAAAAAGCTAAAATTGAGCCTCCTCGTCCTCCTCTTATGTCCTCCTCAGGTGAAAACTTTGTGCCAGGAACTGTTGGTCCAGGTGTGTGACCTCCTGAGGCTGAAGGACTGTCACCTGTTTGGACTCAGCGTTATTCAGAGTAAGACTTCTCATCTCAAGGATTCATTTAGGAGAAACAAACAAATACTTCCTACCTCTGTTTGTGGAGTCTCATACATTGTTTTAAGCTGTGCTATGGGCAGTTAACCTATTTTTCTTTACTTCTTTACCCTTTAGCTGAACAGATGAGTCTTTGTTTTCTATAACTGTGGAGAGTAGTGGAAACTGACTAGTCAGTTGTGTAGACAAAGCCTCAGTTTTATTTTAAGATATTTAAATTTCCTAGTGATTGGACAGCATGTGGTTACATCATGCAAACTGTGGAGTGAAACCACTCATAAAGAGTACCAGAGCCACATAAAAACAGTGTAACCAGGCAGTTGCTTTCCTCAGACCAATAACTCGCCTGAGAAACAGGAATCTGTCCTAAAAGTTTCATTTCTCACCTATCTGTCATGACGGTCTCCCTGGAACCAGGGCTGCCTTGTCTTGACTGGCCCCCATTGTGCAACGAGGCTGAAGTTGTTTTTAACGGTGACGAGGCTCAGCGAGGGTCGTACGTACGGGTTGAGTCACCGTGTCTGTCCCACGGCTGGGCAGACAGCGGGTGACAGTTGTAGGCAACTGCAACGGGAGAGTAAATTGCAAAGGCAGTGTTTTCAGACAGCTGGCCTCCACATGAGCCAATGGCGGCACAGCAGGTCAGTTGAGCAGGAGCCAGTGGGTCTGATTGTGGGACATTCCTGAAGTGCTTGTCTGAACAGCGTGAAATCCCCAAGGCAAACAGAGGCCACCCACTCCCTGTGTGTCACCCACTGTCCCCCTGACCAGTGTCAGACAGACGTGGGTTCAAATACATCTGTGTTTCCTCGCTGTTTGGAGGATTTGTCTCAGAGGAGGAAAACAATATATCCAGCATTGCTGAGTCCAAGACAATATTTTAAAGTTCAGTATCTGCTTCGTGTGGTTTTCTGTGACAGGTTAGCTGACACTGTTTGTATGTAAATGTTTGAGTTGTTTTTGAAACAAAGTAACCAAAATTTTACTAGCGTCGGCCTCAAATGCAAATGCAAAAGCAAATATTTGTTGATCTATGGCCTATTTGTTAGACAAAACAAGACATGTCAAGACGTCATATCTCCTGAAACTTGTTTGATCATGAAAACAATTGTTAGTTGTCGCCCTCCAGCAGATTTGGATTGATTGGTTCAGTCTCGTTTTTCCATTGCTCTAGTTTTCCTCAAAGCTCTTGTGACATCCTTCCACATTTTTACATTTCCATATCCATTGTTGTACATACACACATCAGCCAGATCTCATCTTCACATAATCTATCATAAATGATGTTCCTGTCTGTGGAAATTGACATAATAGACCACAAAAATTAAGTTTAAGGGTTCAGTCAAATCTCAAAAAACATACTTTACCACTCACCCCTGGTCCACTAACATTTCCACCAATGTACAACCGCACAAATAGTTCTCAACGAAAGCCTTTCACAGTGAGGTCTGTGGATCAGCCTGAGCAACAGGGATATTGTTTCTGGAAACAGTCGTGGCTGTTGAGATCCTTAAATGTAATTTCTGGATTCTTTAAGCACCACAAACTAAATGACCTCAGTTGTAATGGGATGGCGGCAGAAGTCTCACCAAATAAAACCAAATCGTTCTAGGGAAATGTTTTGAATTCAACATGGTGAAAACACGGCCTTCACATGGATAAACATATTCTGGACATCATATTAATGTGTTACGGCTCAGAATATATTCATGAATCATGTAAACACACTCATTCCAGTCATTTAGTCTTCAGTACGGTTTCCAGATTTGATGGAAATATTCGCCGGTGCTCTGTCAGAGAGGCTCGACTCCTGCTCTTCATTTACTTTAGCTTTTCAACAGGTTTTCATTTTATAGAAACTCTTGAGTTGTCAGATCAGCAGGCTGCAGCTCAAGGAGAGCGTCACTTCAGGAGCAGATTAAGTCGTGACAGAGTGAGGTGAAGAAATGAGAAGGAACACCAGAGGCTCCGAGTACAAAGGGAAGTGCAGAGGCTGTCTGAAGTGATTTCTCTGAGCCAGTCTTTGAACAGGGCTCATTCAGGAGGGATTTCTCTAAGCACACCAAACATGAAGGCACCTATACATCCACACATACAGTATACACACACACACACACACACACACAGTGATGATGCGGAGAAAGAGTGTTTGAGCTAAACATGCCTCTCTCCTTCTCTCACAGATAATGAACACATCTATATGGAGCTGGATCAGAAACTGTCCAAATACTGCCCCAAAGAATGGAAGAGAGAAGCCAGCAAGGTAAGAAATGATGTGCAGGACTTTTCACCTTCGATTATAACGTGAGCAGAGGACTAAGTCTACATTTTAAAGCTACACTAGACAAGATTGAGATTCAGTCACAAAACTGGATTTAACAGATCCTCCACCTGGGGTTCAGATTTATCCAAATAAACTGCAGCGTCAGGTATAAATGCTTTTCTGCGCAGAGGAAGTGGAAATATAAACTGTCTCCTCAAAGGCCTATTCACTATTTTTGAACCTATAAGTTGCAGATATATTTATATATGCAACTGCAGAAAATGACTAATTGGAGAATTTATTTATATATTGGTTAAAGAAACAGTTTTTGGAAATATGCTTTTTCGCAAGAGGATCTCCTGGTATATGACAGGTTAGCAGACACAGTTAGTTAGCACAGGTTTCTGTACAGACATGATGTTACCACACCTGGCAACCTCACTGGATTGACAGCACACCAGGAAGTCGTTGTGTCTGACTGTTGTTTACAGTCCATAACTCCCAAAACCATGAGCTGTTGTTTTTACATTTTTGTTTGTGTATGAATTAAACAAATAATGTGTTAACTAGTCAGCTTTAGGCATAGTTTTGAACTGTTTTGAACTAGCAAGGTAAACTATTTCCACCCACTTCCATTCTTTATGCTAAACTAGGCTAATCTCCTGGCTTGAGCTCCATTTGTCATTCGCACGTGAGGTGTATTGATTTTCTCATCCAACTCTTGGAAAGGAAGCAAACAAATACACGTTGCAAAATGTTAAACTATTCCTTAATAACTCGTAACTAAAATCATTGGCCTGCTTCACTGAGTTTGTCAACTGATATAAACAAACTCTAAACGGCATCAGAAAACAAAATAACTTCATTAAGTTGTTATTGATTTGGTTGTTGTCTTTAGTTTACATTTAGATCACAGACTGTGTCTATAACAGGAGTTGAATAAAAGTGACACGGAAATTTACCACCATGGGATATTTTACTTCTTACTTTCAGTATCTTCATGTATATAAACTGATGGCAGATCAGCCTAGTCGGTAAACACAGATGTGCTGTGTTTGCTTATATCATGTACCATAGAAATAAAGTTGGAATGGTTTACTGTTTGCAGTTTCCAGCTGGAACCAGAGTTTCCTAACTGTGTTTTGTTGGCCTATAAACTTCCCCAAAAACTGCTCCTTTGCCTCAGACTTGACACTATTCACTTGTTGTCTGATATAACCCGTGTTAGATTCTGCCTTTTGTAGACAATAAACAACGATTTCCACTTGTGTTTTCCAGGGCATCGACCAGTTCGGCCCTCCAATGATCATTCACTTCAGAGCTCAGTATTATGTTGAGAATGGGAGACTGATCAGGTAAGTAAAGCCTCAAGAATGACTGTGCACAACTTACCTGCACAAACTGCTCTGACATCGCTCAGTTTAGCACCAGTTAACATACAATCAGTTAACTCTGCTTTCCGTCTGCCCTGCAGTGACCGGGCAGCCAGGTACTACTACTACTGGCACCTGAGGAAACAGGTGCTGCTCTCTCAGTGTATCCAAAGGGAAGAGGCCTACTTTCTCCTGGCAGCCTTTGCTCTGCAGGCCGACCTCGGCAACTTCAAACGCAACAAGCACTTTGGGAAGTACTTTGAACCCGAAGCCTACTTCCCCCCATGGGTGAGTACGTCTAACACGTACCGTATGTGGCCTAAATCCTTGTGTGTCAATCTTATCAGAGAAAAAGAGGTGATTTAAGATGACTGACCATCATCGTACATGCTCCTTTTTTCTTCCTGTTCACACCAAATCACATCTGGCTCGTTCCTGTCCTTCTGCACCTGCACCTGATTACATCTTGTATAGATATCACATATTCTCTCTGGCTCTTATTTGCTCTCTTTGCCTGGATTGTTTTCATTATCAATTGATCTGCCATTTAGTCTCACAATAAATTAAAAGTTTTTCTATAAAATGTCAGATAATAACAAAAGTGCCCTTCGCGGTTCTCTCCAGAGTCCAAGAGGACGTCTTTAAATGTCTTGTTTTGTCCAAAACTCAAAGTTATTAAGTTTACACTGAAATAAAACTGAGGAAAGCAGCAAATTCTCAAACTGAAGAAGATGGAAGAAGAAAATATTTGGCATTTTTGCTTAAAAACTGACTCAGATGAATAATCAGTTATCAAATTGCAAAATCTAAAAGTAAGTCAAAATATAGCTTCATGATGTCATTGACAGAGACTTATATCCAATAATGGGAATGTCTGTCACTTTTTAAAATTTCAATCAGTCTGTTAAATGTGAGTAATACAGTAAACACATGAATGTTTTAGATCGGTAAATCCCTCAGTTGAGATTGTCTGACAGTGAGTCACAGTGAATGTCCTTGAAAAACATCCATGACTTAAATGGGTCTAAGCTGAAGAAGACCAGAAATAAATTGCTATGTCACAGACTGAGAAGCTGAAACGTACAGTAGAGGTGTGTTTCAGACTGTCAGACAGTGTTCAGTGTCCCGGCCCGCGGTGTGTACAGTATATGGGTCTGTAGCCACCTGCCATTAATCATGCTGACCAAACACTTAGCAACAGAGCATGTGGGATAATGAGAACTGGGACAGCAAGTTTATTTTTGTCCCTAGAAGTGGCACACGCACTGTGTTTTTTTTTTCTTTTCTTTTTTTTTAATCTTGAGAAATTCTCTGGCTGACATGGCTGTTCTGGCCACATTGCCATTCACCACCGACCTCCATCCTCCATCTCTCTGGTTATGACCACCACACCCGTCTGATTGCCCTCCACTTCCTGTGATTAGCCTGCTGCCTCCTTATCACCACTTGAAACCAGTGGCGACAGGAAATTGTTTGATGATGAGCGCTACCCTACAGTAAATCCCCCCACAGATTAAGGTGCTTAGAAAACGTACTTACAAAATCTTAAAAAGCCACATGCAAAGCTTAGCAAGTGTCTTTCCAGTTCCTGTCTCCGGCTCTCAGTCAGTCTCTCCAGGCTGACATCTGTTTGCCCCGCGGCACGCAGCTTCATTATCCTCATCGGCAACTTATACAGCCGATCTGCTGCAATGAGTCCATACAACTTCAGGGCAGCCAAGCCTGACATCTCTCTCTCTCTCTCTCTCTCTCTCTCTCTATCGCTCTCTGTTTCCACCCAGGTGATAGCCAAACGTGGCCGTGAGTACATCCTGAGGCACATCCCGAACATGCACAAAGACCAGTTTGCTCTCACTGCGTCAGAGGCGCACCTCAAATACATTAAGGAGTGTGCTCAGCTCGATGACGTTACTGTCCACTACTACAGACTCTACAAGGTGAGAGACGGGAACATATGTTCAGTAGCTTTCTCTTGTACTAATAAATGGAGCCTTTTTTCCAACACAGATGGCATTGTTGTTTCTGTCCGAGACAATGAATCTCTGCATGTAATACTGGCACAAAAACTACTGCTGCTGCTTTTATACCTGGCTGTGGGAGAAATTGATGCATTAACAGCTCATTGGATTTGTGGTTATTGTTCTTAATTAAATTTGGCCTGATCTTCTTATCATATACTTACGATTTCATCTCTTTCAACAGGACAAGAAGGAGGTAGAGGCGTCTCTTACATTGGGACTGACTTTACGTGGAATTCAAATATTCCAGGTACAGTTTCTTACTTGGTAATCAAAGAAATGTTTTAAGATTTTCACTTTGCTTCCTGGAGTCACTGACTCCTGCTTCGGTTTTACTGTTTTGATATTTACTTCCTGCTTTATGTTTTTCTAATTGCTGAAGATAAGCGCATGACAAAAATGTCAAGTCATTGTTGTTTATTATTGAGAGCTAAAAGTCGCAGGCTGAGTTCAGACAGGAATCAGTGCACGGTTGTTTTATTGAGGCCACTGCCTTGGCACAGCGGTTGCACACATCCGGCGACATCATCCATCATCTGACACTGCATTTGCCGACATAAAGGCCACGTTTCTGTTTACCTGTCTAAGATCAAGACGGAGCTTAAACTGTTTGTCAGCACAATAACTTTCCAGAGCAGCGAAAAACCTTCCTCGTGATGTTATAAATCGCTGTGCAGCGTTCCTGGATCGTAGTTCATCATCTCGCCAGTAACTGATGGATCATGGCCCCATTAACATCTCCTGGCATTTTTTTCTTTAGTTTGCTTGTTTTTTGCTTAAATAAATATTTTCAGTCTTCTCAGTCTGTTTCCAATACATATCGATCTGTTTCGAAATGCATCTAGAAGAAGATCTCAACATTTTGACAGAAGGTAGAATATGGCTCCAATTCAAGCAACATGACTCCTGATACAAGTTGAAATATACAGTTCTGGAAGATTTTTTTTTTTTTTTTTGATTGTTTAGTAAAACAAGATTTTTAGAGCTCACTACTATTACTCGTGTGTTGCAGCAGTGTTGTCATGGTTTCTTTGTTGAATTTTTAATGAGTTGAAAAGCACCCATATACTGCAGCTTTGATCACTGACTTTGTGTGTCTGTCTCTGTGTGTTGCAGAACGTCGGCTCGGTGAGGCAGCTGTTGTACGACTTCCCCTGGACCAACGTGGGGAAACTGGTATTTGTGGTGAGTCAGATGCACCATCAGAACATTTCTTTGACTCATAGCTCAGATGCATTTTTCATAGGTACTGTTTTTTTTGTTTTTTTTGTTTTTTTTTTAATGACTTCAACGATGACGAAATCTGAGCATCCCCTGGCTCATGACTGATTTTTGTGAAAGCCTAGCTCCTGCTCAGGGTCTTGGAAATTTTTACGCAAGGCTTCTTTCCTCCACACTGCTGTTTTATCTTAGCCTTGCAAGTCCTCTGGAACTAATCAGGGATTTAGAAAGACTTTCTTTGCACATGCACACACACGCGCACACACACGCGCACACACACACACACATGCGCAAACACACACACATACACTGTATACATATTTTCTCGTAATCAGCAGCAGTGTTTTCTCTCATATGATGCACATGACTCTTGATTTATCTGTTTTATCAATTGTCACTCGTGTCCCTATCCCCTTTCAAGGAAAGTCCCGTTAAGTCGTCTCTGAGTCAGCCTGACGTTACTTTGAGCACAGCAGTGGGTTCATCTGCTTCCATAGGGTTTCTGTTATCACAGGAAGGCACAGATATAATAAGCACAGCTTATTATCTATCTGTTTCACTCTGACGGCCTCATGTTTTCTGCCAGTCGGCTATTAATCACAATCCAGAAACGTCATTATTGCTGATCTCTGCTCCTTGTGACTCTAATTGTGGCTACTTCTTCAGGTGTCATGGCTGTCAGGCCTCTGAGAAACTTGTTTTGTCGGCCCAGAAAAGTTCGGAAGGTTTTCCTCCAAGAGCGAGTTTTGCTTTGGCTTTATTTTGGCGCATTCACCGTGAAGACATCCTGTTTTCCTCATTCCTGATTTTTCGGTGGTTTCCATGCGACTGCTGTCTGCGGGATCGCGAGAGTGAACCAGCGGTGGCGTGGCTGTGGTTTCGCTGTGGACATGAAGGGCCTTCTCGTGGCCCCGTCCCACCCTTCTCCTGAATAACAGGCTTTCTCCTCCACCCCACCCTCGAGTCACGTCATCCAACACCGCTGCCACCACGGCTGCAGCAACGGCCGAATGAGCCAGGGAGCGGAGCAGGGCGGAGGGACGTGTGGGTCAATAAACACCAGATGTTGCAAAGGTTTCGGGGGTATTTTGGATTCGGGCTTTTGGCCAGGATGACTTTAGCTCGTCTTTGGTATTGAGGTTTGAAAGAAGGAGGGGCATGTTTTCTGCTCAGTGTTAGAAGAGAGTGGAATTTGGTGTTTCTGATGCAATAAGGGAAAACAACGCTGCATTTATGCTTCTCTTGAGTCCACAAGAGCTTGATCTGCTCCCACTGAAGGCTGAAATGAAGTCATCACCCATGTGTCCTGTGGTATGGGATCTAGGGCCAGCTTCTGACGCGCCAGGACTCTGGTTGATGCTGGTGCTGTTGAGGGATTGTTGGATGAAACGCCCCCTTGGAGATGCAGGGAGTTTTCGATGTGTGTGGCCTGTTATGGAGATCTTTTTGTAAAGGGGGAGAGAGCCGTCCAGCTGTCCTGTGCGGAGAGTTCAGATGGACTGACCATGTGTACTGCATGAAACAAGAAACTTTTCTAAGAGGTTTCTGAACACCTTTTAATAACCTACTTGACACCAGCCTGCTGCTGTTTATATTTGGTCTGGATTAGAGTTACCAGCAGCAGGGAAGCAGTTGTTTCAGTATGTGTGGTTTTTACATCAAAAATCACACTCCATCTTCTCTGTGCCATTAATAAATAAACCTTTAACACAGAGATCATACACATACGAATGGAAAAAGCACAGGTTACCATATATCAATCCACTTAGAAATAATTTTATTCACATTATACATTTTGAAAGATGGATGGTTGAGATGGGAATGGTTACCATGTTTATGAGTTTCAGACGTTCGTGTAATTAAACAGACTAAGACTGTTGTATTACTGCAGAGTTGGTAATGTGAGGGTAAAAATGCTGTGCTTTGACAGTATAGAATTATATCCATAAAATGTGGGTTTAATTATCCTGAATGATGGATGCTGGCTGCTGTGAGCCGTCCACATTTGTTTGGTTTCTTGCTCTTCTGTATTATTAGACACCAACTTGGACAGATTGAAGCATAAAAAAAAAAAAAAATCAAAGTTCCATAATTACGTCTTAGATGTTGACGTCAACTGGTAATTAAGGTAACTCTGATATGACATGAGCACGGCAGCAGCCCACAGTTATCTGGCTGACTTGCTCAAAGCACCTTGGTAACTGTAACTCAGAACATTTTATCCTGTATGGAAATCAGAAAATCACTTCCATCAACGTCGTTCTTACATCCCTCGAACACTGAGACTGTCTCCTGTCCGTTTTGAACACCTGTGGACACACAGGCAAACAAGCCCAAACATTTTCTAATTGCAGAAAACGTTCCCAGCACCTGGCCTTTGTCACATATCGATCCACATTTCTGTCTCCCCTCGATTCCTGTCATCTCTCCGCTGCCAGCGATGGAATAAAGGCGTAATGAGACTGTCCAACACCATGTTTGGTACCACTCACAAAATGTCAAATCGTGGCATTTCTGAGTAAACTAACTTACCCTGAAAATAACAGTTTACAGCATGTTAAGCTAAGGCATGTAACTTGTAAATGAAGGGAGTAAAAACCAAGCAAAGCGAAGGGTTTCAGATAGAAAGTACCACCAGAGAGAATAGCCTGGGTTTATAAAATAGAGATGTGATGCAGCTGTACCCTGGGTTGACTCACTCAGTTTGGCTCATTCACACCTGGCTGCTGCCCAGTACGACTTCAGTGTTTTACTGGTGGCCACTAGGAGCTCCAGAGGGGCAGTTTGAGGTTAAAGACAAACACTCAGCTTGAGGGATGGAAGAGAATATTTCTCCTTCATTTTCCCACCCAGAGTTTTCCTGCCAGTCCAGGGTTTTGAACAGGAAATCTTTCAGCCTCAAGGATGCCTCTGCCCAGAGAAAATGATCTTTCAGAGGAAAGCCACTGTCAAAGAACTGTCAGTTACTTTTTATGAACTTGTGTCCCTACAGCACAAAGCTGAATATCTACAATGTGCTTCCCAACTTATGCACAGGCTTTAAACATATTTGGAATCACCTGGTTTTCTTTAAAAAAAATGTCTGGATAAATAATGTGAAAGCTCAGTGCTGTGGTCAGAAATGTGCAAGTCTTTGCATTTTCACAGGCTTTAAACCCACCCATCGCCTTTGAAAGTCCAAACCCTTGCAGAAATGTTTATAGGTCCGTATTGAAAACAACCCCGCTGACACCAAAGACAGCTGTTATTGGGTCGAACTTCTGCCAAAAGGCGCGGGAGAAAGCACAAACCCACCATTTTAGTTTTTCCGTGTATTCAGCCAACATGTCCTCTCCCTGGAAAATCATCAAAACTGCCCAAAAAGCTTTGTTTCAGTGTGTGTATGAAGAAATGAAAAACAGATACATGAACCGATTGTTGCATTGTGTTTGGCTTCAAAACAGTTTTCAACAGCCTTCGTTCTTCCTCTGAGTTTCGCCTGTGGGCCTGTGTGGACCTTTCAAATCCACATTCCTATTTCATAAGCTTATAATATTAACCGCTGTAAATCACAGAGTCCTGTAACCATCATTCATCTTCTTTTTCTCCGTCCGGTCTCTCAGGGGAAGAAGTTTGAAATCCTTCCTGACGGTCTCCCCTCGGCCCGTAAACTCATCTACTACACAGGCTGTCCAATGCGCTCTCGCCACCTCCTGCAGCTGCTGAGCAACAGCCACCGGCTCTACATGAACCTGCAGCCTGTCCTCAAACAGGTCCGTCGACTGGAGGAAAACGAAGGTATTTTCCAGAAGTTTTACATTGTTCTTTCATGTCCTCGTCTTACACTGTGTGCCAGAAGACCATAACATTAAAGTTGTAAACCTTAGGATTTTAGTGCTGCTTAATGTTTGCAACAGCAGTTTAATAGTATGGCGAAAACTCCTCGAGGGAGAAGTAACTTCCTGGAGTCTCTGTTTGTTGCTTAGCAGCTTTGTACAGATTAAAAAAGGGATATTGTGTTCAGTAGTGAGTTTTTCGAGTTGCTGGTGGGTAGATTTTGTTACCCAGAATGTTGGACTTTTGCCTTAATGTTTATAATTTAAGACAATATTGTAAGTTTTGGCACATATATTAATTTTCGTAATATTTTGAAGTATATCCAATCTGTAATAAATGTTCAAATGTGTCTGTTTGTCTGATTTCAGAGAAGAAGCAGTACAGGGAGTCGTACATCAGCGATGCTCTCGAACTGGACATGGAGCAGCTGGACAAGCGTTCCCGGGCCAGCGGCAGCAGCGCAGGTAGCATGTCTCACCACAAACGCCTGTCTCGCCACTCCACAACCAGCCACGGCAGCTCGCACACCTCCGGCATTGAGACGGACAGCTTCAGGGCCCCAGGTCAGGCCCCACACAGGCCCCTACGAACCTGCAGCTCATCCACAACCAGCCACGGGAGCTCGCACACCTCCGGCATCGAGAGCAGCGGCAAGGAGCGCATACTAGATGATGACGGTGAGAGAGACGAGTCGATGTTTCATCTAAAATAATATTCACATGAACAAAAGATTCCCAATGTAGAGATCCCCTGCATCCATTTCTTACCTTGCACCAACAATTCTGCTAAAAAAATACTGGCAAGATACTAGAAAAAAGCAGATTACCAGTTTAAAGTTTTAGTTGTTTCAGTGATTTTGTTGTGAGGTGTAAAAATTCAGACATTTGTTCCTGCAGAGATTGAGATGCTGGTGGACGACCCCAAAGATTATGAAGAGCTGCATGAGATGGCTCTGGACCAGGAGCTGTGTATCCACATCACTGAGGACATGTTGACGATGTCCCCTGATCAGACCAATGGATACTCTGGTACAGACTGTGTTTTCATATTGTCACTAAAAGCATGTCGACTTCATTTACTCCTCCAGAGCAACATTTAGTGTCTGGAGAAGTAAAATCAAATTTGACTGATAGTTTTCCAGCACTGGTAATAAAGAGAAGGAGAAGAACAAGATTTAAAGCCAGAGTGTTGGACATCTTATTCAGCAAACAACATTAAAAAAGCATGAGGCAAAGTAATGACCCTGAGGGTGAACTCATGTTTAACACTGTTAAATACTGTAAATAAAACATCAGCATCCTTTCTCCCCAGGACTCATAGTGAAAGATGTCAGCTCCTCCACTTCCAGCTCCTCCGAGACCGTCGTCAAGATGAGAGGACAGAGCATCGAGTCTCTGCCACAGGTAGTTTAGATTTAATGCATGGATTTCACAGCACTGTCTGCACTGCTTTTAACCTACACCTAAGACATGAAGTAACTTTAAGATGGACCTCCTTTAGCAGCTTGTCTGTAATGTCACCAGCTGGTCATGGTGACGTTTTTCCTGTCTTCTTTCCCCTCACAGACATCTGCATGCAGGAAGCCTGAGTCTTCGACCGACCGGCACAGCCAGTCTCTTGACGACATCCGGCTCTACCAGAAGGACTGCCTGCAGTGGGCGGAGCTCTGCCAGGACACCGCCCACAGCTACACGTTCGGCTGCGCTCAGGAGCTGAGTGATGGCGGCGGCTACCAGGGCCTTGCCGATCAGCGCGCCGGCATGCTCGGCGAGCAGCACCCCTTCCCCATCAAGAGAACCAACAAGTACTTCTCCCTGGACCTGACCAGCGACGAGGTCCCAGAGTTTGTGGTGTGACGGAGACGGAAACAAGGCGTTTCACCTCAGGGTGACCGTTTCACTCCTCCGTGTCAGATGTGGAGATGTTTCAGCCCTCAGGGAACGAGACAAGAGAGGAGTGTTTCTATTCTTAGCAGAGAACGGAAGGGACAAGTAAACTGGCAACAAGTTGGCCGTGTCTTCAGTTACCACTTGAGACGTATAACACGTAATAAATGAACAAATATGGAGGATTCTGGCTGAAATGCTAATTTTAAGAATGAACACTGGGCTCAAGAGAACCTGTGTCTTTAAAATATAATCCAAGCTGCTCCCCCTGTGTGAAAGGAAACAAAAGGGATCATTTAGTCTACATTTTTATTCAAATCTGTCTCCTCCAAACTGGTTTTAACATCCTCACGTCGTGTTTGCCTGCTCTATAAAGTCATAAAGGACTGTGTGTGTGTGTGTGTGTGTGTGCGCAGGTAGGCCTACAACAGACACAGACTCATACACAGACATATGACGAGCATATCAAAGATTTTCTGTGGAGGACACAAAGGACAAAATCACTTTGAGCTATGAACCAAAGACAAGAAATGACATGTTTCTACGTCCACATTATTCTTCAGCCGTGACAAAAATATTTCAGAGTCATGGTGGGAGGGAAAATGGACCCATAATCCTTTGAGCCAGAGCAGCCATGGCTCCTTTTTTTTTTTCACTTCTTCTGTGCCACTTCATTTTACCTCAACAGGAAGTGCAGTGTGCCAACCCCCTCCCCCTCAGACTGGACTGTTAATCATGTGAAGACACACCCGACGTGCCTTCATCACACTATGCAGGTGTAACCCTCGCCTTGACAATCACACACTCTCACCTTAGTCATTTTTAAAGGTTTAAAAGCCATCAGAATTTTATTTCACAACATTGTGCGCACGCTTCATTAACAGATAAAGCTAATGCTTCAACATCTTAAACAGCAAAAGATCCTGTTTTCAGACTGTTTCATGTCCTGTGAAATCCAACTGTGTTTCCTGGGAGGAATGAGGTCACGTTAGTTCCTACATGTCCTGACTCGCGTTGAGTTTGTGGCCACAAAAGCTCCCCTGTAATCTAGACTCAAAATGGAGCCCGGGCAGGCTGTCAGCCAAAACAAACCATACATTTTGATGCAAACGTATATGTCTTCCTTTGATTCTTGTTGTTTCTCATCTGACTTGTTTCATTTTAAACTGGAATTTGTTACATTTTTTTTTATTTCCCATCCTTTTTACCTGAAATCGCTTTACATGTTGTATTTTTGTATGAGTTGTCCAGACTTCTATTATGTTGAACAGTTATTTTGCGCATAGTTGATGTCATTCAGTATTACCATCAAATGTAAGTGACAGTATTAGGGACGTGTGAAGTGGCTCTGTGGCTCTGAACGAGAAAGACTGGTTTCATTATTTTTATCTCGCAGTAAGATTCAGGAGAACTGTAGCCTGTGGGAGTTGACAGGATCTGTTACAAGCTCTTATTACTCATAAATGGCATCTCAAATTTTAACTACACTACAACTGGTGTGAATGAGGACAGCAGGTTGTTGCAGGTTAAAACAACAATGTTTTTACATGTAAACCACGCTGCTCAGACTCAAAGTGCCACAGTTACAGCTTTAATATTTTCTGTTTTTGTCTGATTTAAATCAGTGTCATTGCTTTTTTTAAGATACAGCCATAATGTCTTTTATTTCTCTGTGGTGAAAACACTAAGATTTATTTAAAACACTGTTTAACTCATATTTGAATTTGGTGGGAAAACACTGCACTGTAACCTTTATCATGACAACAGAATTACATTTAGATTTGAGAATGAACTCTTAAGATTATTTAAGTTTCTTATAAACTGTCCAAGTGGCTGAAATGATCCTTTCAGTTGTTGAAAAACAAGGTATATTAAAGGAAATGTGTGACATTTTGGGAAATGAGAAGATTGATACCACTCTCGTATCTCTACACTAAATATGAAACTACAGCCTTGCTACCTTTGGCAGAACCAGGCTAGCTGTTTCCCCTGTGTCCTGTCTTTATGCTAAGCTAAGCTAACGGCTGTTGGTGGTAGCTTCATATTTACTGTACAGACATGAGTATTGGGGTATCGATCTTCCTATCTAACTCCTGACAAGGAAGCAAATAAGCATATCTCGCAAAATGTCAAACTTTCTCTTGAAATGTTACATGTTACATGTTACATGTTACATGTCATCTGCAGATGGAACATTATGATTTTAAATTGTCATTCAGCAACCAAAAACAACAAATAAGATGATTAATGTGCAGTCAAACTTCGGCTACTTTTATTAACATGCCAATTATGTTGCAGAGCCGAACTGTACGATGTAATTTTGTCTCTCTTTCCAAACTTAAGTTCTTTCTGAATCATCCCAGGTCAGCAATACAGCATCTGAACATGGTTTAAAAAAAGATAAATATGTATTACATAACAAATACATTAATTTGATACTGCTATATAATTAAAAACAACTATATTTCTTACAGTTTGTTTCTTTCACTGTTTTACACTTATAATTATTTCTACTCATTAATGGTAAATGTCTTATGTCATACTTTGATGGACAATGACGTGTCTTATATTAAAACAGTATGTGTTAAGGTACATAGCCATACAGTCATAACCCATGTCCTTAAAGTCTTCATAATTTGTTCTAACTTCCTTCTCTGACTTCAATATATGGTCATACTTACACTTTGTAAGAGTCTGTATGTCTGTGTCCTTAATCCTTTCTGTGAAAGGATCTCCCTTCAGGAAAAAATGAAAGATTTTTTTGTCACCCTGTACTTAAAAAAATGATTTGTTATTATGAAGTCTGGTCCGTGCCTTCTTGGTACTAACGCCCTCAATATCCAATAAAAAGGTACATTTATCTACCAAAGTTCTGCTGTTTTTGTGGTGATTTTAAAGTGGTGCCAAGTTGCAGTTAATGTGCTATAAAGAGGTAGCATATGATAAAATAAAAATAATAATTCAAAATAAAAAATAGATTGATTTCCCATTCAGTTTATTTATCACACTTCTTGGCTTTAAATATATCCAGTTAACAGTTTTCTCTCCAATAACAAACATAAAACAAAAGTAAAAGTACCATTAAATGTGTTATCTGATAGAAATATTGTTGGTCCTGAGGTACTGTATCACATGCCCAAAATGTTTCATGGGTTCGTGCTGCCCTCTGGTGTAACACGCTTACTTTCATGTGAGTATCATTTGGGTCTGAAGGTGGCAGTATTGCCTGACACATGAGACACGACGCGTGCTGCTCTTGCTCCTGTCCACTGTTGTTTCTCAGACTCTGAGCCAGCTGTTCATTTTTAAATTTGTGCATCTGCTCAAACACACAAATAAATTTATTATGTAAAAAAGCAGAAAATGAGGCACATAAACATCATTTAACATTTTAAGTGTTAGATCCTGAGTAACTGGCCACTGGGACAGGGGAAACATTTATATTTAAAGTCCTCTTATTTAAACATGAAGTAACTGCTTTTTGCATTGAAACAGCCTAACAATGGATGGCTGATACTTTCCTACAACTTAATGCTGATCAAACAGAAGTCCTTGCCTGTGCTGCAGCTGGCCTCGTCCCTAAGGTGAAGGAAAACCTTGGCTCCCTCTCATCCTCCTCGTCTCCCCTCATAAATCTCAGTGACATTATTGACCAGGCATTGACTCTTGAACCGCAAGCGAAGCGTTGGATTCATTCCTGTTAGTTCCTGCAGCTGAGGAACATTGCTAAACTCATGTCCTTTGTGTCTCATGCTCAGATTGAAATGATTATCTGTGTCTTTCTTTCATCCAGTCCTGACTTTTCTTTTTTTCCTGCCTTAGTAAGGTCTGATGTGACAGCAGTCCTGATTACTTTGCATTTGGCTGAGTTGAGTAGAAGAATCTCCACAGAGGCTTGACAATAAAAAGTTTGGATTCAGTGTTGGTATTGAAAGTAAACTTATTATCCAGTGTTGATCCCAAATACTTTGATTAACTGAAGTCATAGATTCCCCTTTGATGATGGCAGGAGAAAAAGACCTAAACCGGCATTCCCAGATTTAGAGCTACTTTTTGGGCGGGAAAATATTAATTTCCCCAGGTTGATTTGCATGCACGTGCAGAGGGTAGAGCTGACGTCTTGTTTTTTTGTTTTTAATTTTTTAAATTTTTGTGATGGCCTGTCCATGGCCCTTATCAAGAAGAACATTCAACATTCATTCATAAAATAATTTAACTATAAATAAAATGGCAATCAGTTTCCGTCACCTGATGTCATAGGTCACGTCACGTAACGCCGTTGTGGTTGTGACCTCAGACGTCGCAGACAGACGCTAAATAAATATTGGGATTTTAATTCATTATCTTAAGGGAAAGATTCAGCTCCTGGTAAGTGGGTTTGTAGCGGAATTATGTGCGTGTTGTTTTTGATATGTTTCTTAGGACGAAGTGAACGCGTTTGTGTGTATTTGCACTTTTCCCACAATAAGCAGCCGTTAGCCGCGAGCTAACGACAGTTGTGTTGCTATGGAAAACGTAAGAGCACATTTTGACGGGCACCTTGTTTCTTTATATATTGGTTATTTTCCTTTGTCAAAAGTGAATTCTATATCTGTCCACCGTTTTAGAGAATGTATAATTTTATTCTCAAGTAGCGTTAACGTAAAATGGCACCGAATTTAGTTAATTCAACCTGATGGCGCCGACTATTTACTGGCATTAACCAACCTGCATATAGCAGCAGCAGCAGTGGCATTTAAGTTATCAATCTGTCAACCTTTCTATCTGTTATGTTATCCTGGTGGCCAGCCTAAAAAAACATTTTTTTCCTCAACTTCATTGTTTCTGTAGGTTATGCTCTCAACCTTTGTCCCTCTGTATTACTGGGCAACTCTGTCAACTGAAGAAGCCCACCAGATGTGGTCAAAAGCTGTGGAACCGCCAAGTAAGTGGGTGTTGTACTGAGATTTTTTTTTTCTGTTTTTGTAAATATATTTTGTCTTTAACTGTGCTCTACAAACACACACTAACTTCTGGCTGCAGATGTACTGTACTTAAGTACAATAGATAAGTACAGTACATATGCTACGTCATACTTATACTCCACTTCATTTCACAGCAAAGTAATGTACTTTTTATTTCTCTACAGTTTATTTATTTTGCAGCTTTAGTTACTGGTTACTCTTCAGATTTGTACAATTGTACATTAAAACATATGACGCAGGTTTAAATAGTACAACAGTAAAATGCTGCTTTTGCCACTATTGACAATGTAATTTAATATTTTGTGCAAAAGAGGTACTTAAATGCAGTACTTTTACTTGTAATGAAGTATTTTTTCATTGTTTTATATTAAGTATTCAGATCATTTTCTTAGGTAAAAGTAGTAATACCACAAATACAATACGTCATTACAAGTAAAAGTCCTGCAGTCAAAATTAAACTAAAATGAAAGTATTGAAGTATTATCAGCAAAAAGATATGAATATTGAATAAATGACAATGTACAGATAATGTAGACATACTGTATGAAGTGAGCCACATGTTACTGTGGAGAAAGCCTGAGCTCCAAGGTTGTATTTTTAGTTATCAGTGTGGATACAAATGTCAGTGGGATTTTAAATTAGGTTTTGTTACTTTGGATCAAACCCGGAAGTTTCTGGACTCACGTCGGATCTCTATTTAAAAAAACAATCCTTGATAATATAAAGAGTCAAACATGCAACATCAAGGCAGAAAACAGTGATCACCACAAAGAGACAGATTTACAGTTTAAGAGAAAACATGGATGCTTTCCTCAGCGAGCTCCACCTCCTTCCTCCGACACAGATAACGTGTCTCTCCCTTCTCTCTCCTCTCCGAGCTCCACAGCTGTACAGGAAATCAGTCATCCACCATCCACTGCTGTCGCCATGGCAACACAGAGGGGGAAATCCATTCTCTCTTTCTGTCACCACCCCCTCCTCCCTCTTCTTTCTTCTGTCTCGTTGAATTAGGTGTAGCTCGGCTCAGACCATTTTCATGGGGTTGTTTTTACATTTAAAAAAAAGTGAGGTCATCATGTGTTAGCCCTAGTAACGCTTTATATTTAAATCATGGGAAAAGAAGGCTGAAATGGCGATTTGATCTGCCCCATTAAGACCTATTTTTATTCTTTATATTTGTCATCTCATAGTCGTCTTTCTACATTTGCATCCTTTCTATTACCTCCATACATTTTATCTTCTGATCTATGAGCATGTGTGTGTGTGGGCAACCGTTTGAGCCGATTGTTTGAGAGCATTAGGTGACAGTGTGTCTCCAACAGCAGTGGTGACCTCTCTGTAAATCCCATGGGGCATTGGGGCAGGACAGGCGGGGCGGCTCTGCTCGGCTCGGGCCAGCAGCTGCCTGGAGGAGCCAGATGGTCGCAAATCAGAAATGAAATCCAGGCCCTTCCCCCGCCAGTCGTGATAACCCCACCCAACACGCACGCACGCACGCGCGCACACACACACACACACACACACATACACAAACAATGCGTGTACATGATCATTCAAGCATCCTTCATCCTCCTCCTCCTCCTCCTCCTCACGGAAAATCACCATTGTTGTGATGGTTTTCACTCTTTATTACTGATACAGAAAATTCAATATTTGTCTCATAAAAACACGGTCAACCTGTTTCTTCCAGTTCCTCAAAAGCCGACTGAATTTTTGTGGCCACCCTGATACAAAACGGCACAATTAATTCCACCAGAAAAGGTAATTTTAGTGACACCACGTCAAAGTCACCACATCTACCTGTGTCCTCTTAGAGGTGGATTAACGGCACATAATAAACCAGCCTATTAACCAAAACAGCTGCACTGACACCACAAGCTTCAGAGATGATCCCCAGAGCCGATAATAAAACATAGTAATCAGATTACAAATAAACAAATCTCTGGATTTATCTCCTCTCCAGTGATGGAGGGAGGGAGGGGTCTCACTGTTACTGTCACTGCTGATGTTCAACAAGGCCATAACATACAGTAGCAGAGGGCAGTGATTCTCAACCACGCTTACTTGTACCTCAGGGGTACTTTCTCCTACAGGTGCGAGGGTGGAGGCGGAAAGTTCAGTGAATAGTTGAAATAGTTAGCTAAACCAATATAGTTTATTTAATTAATAAATGATTGAAATGGTTAGCTTAAAGTAGCTAATGGATAAAGAATTAAAGTTGTATATATATTTTGTATATCTGTCTTTATTTTTACATTCGTGGATACATTCATGCATGCTACACAAATCTGTGGAGAGATGTTGTGCCATCGCTCGCAGCCGATTCTTTTCAGCTGCTCTTTGCTGGAGGGGTTTTGTTTGCTCTACCTTCCACTTTAAATACTCCAAAGGTTCTGTTGGATTCAAGTTAGGGCACAAACTTGGCCAGGTTATAGCCTTCACTTTTTTCTTCTTCAGAAAAACTCTTGCATGATTTTTGCAGCCTGTTTGAGATCAGTCATGTTGGAAAATTCCTCTCCTGCCAAGATTTTTGAGTCTGGGAGTCATCTTTTCATTCAGGATTTGGGTATATACAAACCTTCATTCAGAGCGCCATTTATAAATGCCATCTCCACAGCACCTTTTGCACTCATTTAGCCCCATATCGGCACATTCCCACCTCCATGTTTCATCGTTGCCATTGTGGCCAGATCCATGCAAAACATGCTGTTTAATGAAAATAATTAGCTAACAAAAATGGCTGAATAGTTAACTAAAGGTAGGATAAACAGTTGGGATAATTACCTTAAATTAATGGATGTAGAAATAGAAACATCCAGGCCCATGAAACATGACATATGGTGCCAATGAGCTCATTTGATAGGGCCGTCGGGGCACATCAAGACAAAGGTTGGGAAACCCTGGCTTACTGGACCCAGGAAGGGCTATTGCCCATCACTGGTATCCTGGTGACAGAGGCTTTCTGTGTTCACCTCCACAGGAACCATGACTCACTAATTCTCTATTTTCCTCCTCCTCCTCTCTCTCTGTCTCTGCCTGGATGTGTACTGTAACTGTAAGGTTCAAGGAGAATAACATCTGCATGAATGGAGCAGAGGAAAATGTGATTCACAGAAAACGTGACACTCGGTTGAGACAGCAGGGCGAAGATGAGTAACGATAGCTGAGTTTACCTGCAGGCGAAAAGCACACATGCATGAAAGCAGAAGTACAGTACACTCATACTAACACAAGTGTGCACTATAACACATACATATCGTCGGAAATATACAAGACAGAGCGCACAGACTAGGAAGCTCTCAGATAGTGTACAATCCTCTTTTTAATAATTGAAAATGTTTAGAAACGTTTAATCTGCCTCCAGCTCCAGATGTGCACCAAAGTACATATAATAACAATGAGGGGGACATGAATGTCTGTACCAAATTCCCTGACAATTCAGCAACCAAAACCGTTAACCTTGTGGATGCACTAAAGAAGTCAAGGTATCACCAAAGTCGATAGGATTCATCCTCTGATGTCTGTACACATTTTCTTGGCAATCCATCCAGTATTTTTTGTAATTGAGATATTTCAGTCTGGACCTAAGTGGTGGTTTGTCTCATTTTGGTATCCCTAGTGCCCCATATCTGTTTCATAAGATTGGGCTTAAATCTGTTAAGATACATTTTCAACATCCTGCCTACAGACACATAAACATATGCAAACATATTCAACTAAAAACATAATCTGCTCAGTTAAGGTAACACAGCAGCTGCATGCACACATGGCACACTTGATCTTGATGAACTTACCCTAATTGAATGCATCTTGTACGTTCAGAAAATTCTCTGTACATAACGCCCCAGATGTGAAAGAGCAATGGGTGCAGCATGTTGTTTGTTTGTGTGTTGTTCCAGCTTTGGTGTGTAGTTGCCGGGACACACTTTCTTTTTTAGTTTTAATCTTTGATGATTCACTGTAATGTACAAGTTGTCTAAAACCTCAACCCTGTCATATGTTGTGTGAGCAATGCAGGATTTTGCTGTTGTTGTTGTTGAGGGTTGAAGGAATATTTCCCATGCAATGTCTAAAATCATCTACAGTAGAAAAACATGAGTTAAATTCGAGTTAAGAAAGAGGAAAATTAGCAGCTGCAACCTATGCAGGGACCAGTATGAATATTTATCAAGATGGAAATCCAGCTAGTCCAGACTTGTCATCTGTCTTGGTAGTCTTGGTATGCATTTGTTTACTGTAGGTGTTTAGAGAGACAGTTAAGGCTTTTCCTGTGGACCTCTGGGAGACGAAGGGAGTGTGTCCTTATAGCAGAAAAGAGAAGACAGAAAGAGGGAGGGAGGAGGAGGAGGTGGGTAGTTTCTTGCAGCCTGAGCATTTGGCTAAAGGGTGGAGACTCAGAGCAGCAGTAAGGAGGGAGGCAGGGAGGATCTCAGCTGGAGCAGAGAGAGGGAGAGGCATACAGAGAGAGGAGTGTGCGCTGAGTGTGGATGTACTCGCCTGCCTTGCTGACTGACTGTGTGTGTGTTTGTGTGTAACAGAAAGAGGGGAAATCGCGTGGATACTACTCCACAGGACTGGATGCATTCGGCATCACGGGAGGAGAGCACACACACACAAACAAAAAAAGGTAGGACTGTTTTTTTTTTTATTTTTTATATCATTATTATTTTAAAGCTATTATTTATGTTTTTCTGTTTTGGTGGCATCTGGGTTCATTTCATCCAAGACTGGGTGTGTTCCAGAGGAGGAGGGGGGTTTTTCATATCCACGCTGTCATTTTGTCAGCGCTCAAGGGGCGAGATTGATGCCGCTGGCTGGTTTACATCATGGAATCCCCTCCTCCCACTAAAATCTCCAAAAACCGCCTCGCTCTGAGGTGAGCGGCTGCTTTATTTTCCCCCATCTCTCACCTCCTTTCATACATGTGTGTATGTGAGGGGGTATAAGAGAATGGACTCCCTTGCTCCTTCCTCTTCTTCCTCCCTCCTTCTTCTTCCCTCAGGATTGGGCAGATCTTATAATGTGGAGCCAGAGGAATTAAGGGCATCTGTTTCAGAGGGATATTTGCACGAGCAGAGAGAATGAAAAAGAGACAGATGAAAAGGGGGGGATGTGGCATACAGAATGGGATGCTAAAGACAGAGACGGCGAAGGAAGGAGGAATCCCACAAGCCTCCTGTGTGTTTTTCCAGCCATTCTCAACCCTCTCGCCCTCCATACCGTGAGGAGAAAGCAGTCGACCACACACAAGCTCCATGTAGTGGTTGTATCAGGCAGATGGCTGGGAGAGAAGGAGGAGGAGGAGGAGGTGGGGGAGGAGAGGGGAGGTGTTTGGTGTTTTTATGTTGCTCATAGACAGATACCATCGCTGACAGTGGCATGCATTCGCAGGAAAACCGAGAAAACGAACACAGATGAGCTGTTTTTTCCCACTCTTAGCTCATCATGCGAAGGCATTGTCATGTACAACTCGCATTAAATCGTCCAATCTTGTGTTGTGTGTCACACATCCAGGCCTGTTACAAATACACGCAGCAAGTCAAAATTACGCAAGTGCTTACGTCCAGGCGGCTCATACTGTACCTTGAAGCCAAGCTGCTCCAAGGCCACAGATTCTTTCACACACGTCGATGTTGAGACTATAAGAGAGGTTCACAGAACTGTCCACCGTTACTCAAGAAACATCAAAAACCTTGAACACAATGGAAAGCATTAAGCGTTCCAGATAGAAAGCAGAGAGGGAGAAAAGGGAGAGTGATGGTGGAGAATTTGGAAAAATGAGCAGCCATCTATGCTTTATTGACCACTTTGACCTCTCCACTCCCTTCAACCAAAGAAATCTCCTCCTTTCAGGCCAAAGTATGAGTAGTTCTCCACAAGGCTGGGCTTCACAAAAGCATCTTTCTACGTGAAGTCATCTCAATATGAACTTGAAGCCTTAATGAACTTCAAAACGGACTGAATTGTTTCTCGGATGTTGAGTGCTTCCGAGGGAAGGTAACGTGAGGTAGAAGGATGTTATAACACTGAAGGTTTGACCTTTGTATAGCTGCACCTGTTTGCTGCTAACAGTGTTGATTTTGGTTTTAAAGCTTATTCAAGCGTGCTGTGGTTTGTTAACATAGAAGTGGCCAGAGCTGTTTGTAGAGCTTTGGAGAAATGCCAAATCAAGTGTTCAGTACAGTCAGAATCCTTGAGGGTAAAATAATTCTGCCTTCAAGGCTGAAGTCTTTATCAAGTCAAATCTCAAGTAAGTGAAGTGTCACAGAAGCCAGTTTTAAGTCTTAAGTCCTGACTTTTGTGACTTAAATCTAACTCAGGCTGTTTTTAGGTCTTTAGGACCAAATGCTAGCCCAAATTTTGTCCAACCAACTCGCAGCAGTCTTCTGATCTCTGTATCAGCCATTTATCTGATCTGTATTTTGGTGTGTTGGTATTTTTGGGCCAAGTCCAACCCAGTCTTAAGTCATGGCCGAAGTCCATGAGGGAAAAACATGACACTTGAATATTTTTACTTTCAAGTCTTTAGGGAGTCAAGTCTGACAGCTGTTGAATCGAAGTGAAGTCTCAAGGTGCTCTTGTTTTTGTGACTAAGGTCTGACTGAGGTCCCACTCTCAGGTCTACCTCAGCTGTTTTATTTCTTTGGAAACCAGTACAAGTCAAGTCACAAGTCTGTTCCAGATAAATGTTAAGTCTTGAACATTTTTGTTGTCAAGTTTCGAGTCAATTCTTTAGGGACTCAGGTCCGAAATAAGTCAAGTCTCACAGAAATCAAGCCTAAGTTCAGTTTGTCAGTAAGTCTGAATGGCATCCAAGTCTCCAGTCAAGTCTCAAGTCTTGTCCAACAGAGTCTGAAGTAAGGTCTCAGGTCCTTGAGGGCAAAGAGTTTAGGTTCAAGTGTTCAGCTGCTACTTGTATCAAATAAAGTTTTGTAGGTCTAATTGCCGACCTTACTGACTTTCAACGGACAAATACTCTCTATCTGTTTCTGACAGTTAAGATGAAATCTATGGCATGCAGTATCCTCCCTAAAGTAGATACACTTTCATTACTTTTCAGCCAGTTAGAGCAAGTCATGGTCTGAAACTCTCCAAGGAGCACACTCACACTCTCAGCAGAATCTAAACAAGCCCGGATGTTTGTAATATTGTTAACAGCCCAGGAGTCTGGCAGTGTTATTCTTGGCATGCTGATTGATTCCAGAGGAAAAGTATGTTTATGCCTCCTTACTCAAATGCAAAAATCCTGCTGATTCCTCACAGTTAAAGCACGGGGAAGAGAGCTTCATGTACACAAAAGATGCTGAAACTTTCACTTGTGACACAAGGCAGGAAGTTAACCTTTTAAATGTGTCGACCACACCGGCCACTTCCAAGTATGATTTCCAGAGTGGAAAAGAAGCTCCACACAATGGCTGGTTTCTTGCCTAGATGGCCAGGAAATTTAAGACAACTCTCTTAGTCAAAACCAAAATTCACCAGCATTACTTGGCTGGTGGCTGGTGTTAATTTTCCACCCTGGACACACAAAAGCACATGTGGTTTTTTTTGTATGCTTCCAAAGCTCTCTAAGTGTTCCTGTGACAGCAATGTTATTCATTGTTTCGACCCCACTAACTACGCTGCTGTTACATAACACACATATCAAAGGTTTTAAGCACGAGTCTTTAAACGTTTGAGGAAAAGAAAACCACTTGGTCATTGCTTTAATCTAACAAAGAAGAAACATGCCGGGCCTTGATCGTTTGATTTAATAAACATAATAGACCACATTTGCACTCCCTGAAGCAATAAGCATCCTCCCTGCTGCCTCCTTGACTCCCAGGGGATGCATCATTTCCTGGGCCACTGCCTTCTCACTTCCCCCCTTCTGAGACCTAGATTAACCCTCAACACACACACACACACACACACACACACACACACACACACACACACATATATACATACATGCTCATACACCACCACCTTTAAGATGGCAGGATTGGCAGTGCATGCTGGGGGTGGCACAGATGTCCGGGCTAATCGAATGGTCACGGGTGGTGGTGGTCTGACTGAGAGGCAGCAGCACGAGGTGAAACCAGATATAAACTGTCAGTAGCCCCTTTAAAATGAAATGAATAGATTGTATTAGTGTGAATACTGGATTTTATTTTGTTGTAGCTGCCAGCACCATCTCTTATTTAGTCACTAGTATTTTATTTTATTTATGTAGCATTTTATGAAAATACTGAAGATTTGAAACATAGTTTTCAGGTGCTTTATAATGGCCAGGGATTTCGTTTTTTCTAAAAGAAATCATGAATGAAACAAAACCACAAGCCTCCCTCCCACATACCGTATGGATCCAAACCACTGAGGTGCTTTTTATAGTTGAAAAAAACTTGACTCTCAGTACTCTTACCATCATGCTGTAGACACTCAATGTAAAGTGATAATATGATTTTCTTCTCAGGACTCTATTTGCACACATAAATTACATCTATCTCTACTGAAAAGAAATTAATTTGTTATAGTAGATACATTAAATTAACACTAATACAAGTTGGCAGAGACAGAACAAAATAGACAATTGATTGTGGACAGACATCTAGAACTTCATATGAAAATAACATGACTTCAAATGACAGATGCAAATTTAAAAGTCATTTTAAAATGAGACAAGATGAAGTAAAAAGAGGAAGGTGATAAATAATCTATCTGTACTCCTTCTGTTGCTAGTGTACTGTTAATAATAAACATTATTATATCGTTTCAAGCTCTTTTAAAGTATACAACTATGTCGGTGTTCCACAGCTAACAACTCTACAATACAGTGAAAAGTATACTTCAAAGTGCACATATGAGGGGTTAAGGGTGGAGTTTATTTTCATAATTGTTTTTCTTATCTAATTTAGCATCTAGTCTTTTAACATGTTTTTAGTGTTATTAATGAAATTGAAGAAAAGATTAGACCTCTAGGATACACTATTGTGGGAATAAACTGGATGTTGGAGATGTTGTGATCCTGGAGGCCAGGTCCAGGTCTAGGCCTAGTCCGGCTCAAAGCCCCGTATGTTCAGAAATAGTGACGTTGAAGGAGGCTCAGCTGTCACACTCAGCGTCATCTCCCCAGACGATCATGGCCTGACAGCTCTGCTCTCTGTGTCCCATCTCTTTCTCTTTGTGTTTGTGTGCACAGAGATCGGTGTCCTTTCCTCTATTCAAGGGCAGGGCTCTGTGCTATATTACATTCAATAGTCAATATCCTCTTGATCGTGTTCATTAATAACTCCGGAGGTCAGTTTTAAATTACTTCTCCTTGCTGCGGTCGCTGTAAAAGCCACTCTGGAAGAAGATACTACCGCCACATCTCAGTCTCTTTTATCTTCATGATAAACTTTATTCCTATTTTCAGCTTTTATTGTTTTTTCTCATTCTGCGCAACCTCTCCTATCAGTTTACGACACTGTAAATCTTTGTTTGGCTGAGTGGGCCCTTCTCTGCCTTTTGTTTCACAGTGACATCGCAGAGTGTACTTCATTGTCCTATGACACACTGAGGATGGTACACTCACTCGGTCACACTGTGAGGGCTCTGATGACTGAACTGTCTGCACGGGTGTGAATGCTTTTGCATGCTCATGCT